TTTTTTTTTTTTTTTCAGTTTTGTTGCAAAAACCTAGAAAATAAGGAGCTTTTTTCTTGGGGTCCATGATGACGATGGCTGAGGAATGTGTGATGGGTTTCTTGGATTTTGGAGGATTAAGGATGTTGAGCTGAAATTTGGTATCTTAAGTGATTAATGTTGTTTTTTTTTGGTGGGTTTTCACAAATTATTGCTGGTGAAGTAAAATGCAAGTGGGGATTTGAGATGCTGAAGTGTGGAATTTGGAGCGGTGGGCTTTTGGAGCTGAAAATGGATGAGTTTTTAGGGGTTGAGAGCGAGGGTTTTGTTTGAGCTGGGGGGGCTTTAGTTGGTGCTCTGTACAAATAAATAACTAAATAAAAATAAAATTGTAGCTGTATCAAAGGAGAGATCATTAATTATTTGTGCTGTCTGAGTGTAGTGTGGATAAATTATGAAGCTTTCAACATCAGGGATAGGTCAGCAAGCTCATGAAGGTAACTGTTGTGTCTCATCTTTTTTCTACACACTACTCTTTCTCCTTTTGTGTGGCTTCATCTTTCTTATCTCTTCCTTTATAATGAAAATTGCCGTTCCCCTTTTTATTTTGATGAATTATATCTCACCCCGTCGTTGTCATTCAAATCTTTGCTGTTTGAGAATGTTCTTGTCCTTTTATCGGAAAATTTACGATACCGCCGATCTTCAAAGAACATAATTTCTGCCGAACTCGTTAAACTGAATGTATTTCGGTTGATGAATTTTGTTTGTTGGATATGGAAGGGGATAAGAAGTGCTTGAATTCTGAACTATGGCATGCTTGTGCTGGTCCTTTGGTGTCACTGCCGTTAGTCGGGAGCCGTGTGGTTTACTTTCCTCAGGGTCACAGTGAACAGGTTTTTAATCGAGTTGTTTCATTCTGATCTTCTCTTCTCGCAAATCTTTCGTTTTGTACTTTTTTAGGCCTCTGAATAGCTCTTAACTAGAAATTTTCCGTAGGTTGCCGCCACTACTAACAAAGAAGTTGATGCTCATATACCCAATTACCCGAGCTTATCGCCCCAATTGATCTGCCAACTCCACAATGTCACGATGCATGTGGGTTTTTCTCGGTTTTTTGTTCTGTCTTGTGAATTGACTTACAATCGAGCAACATAATATTAAAAAAAAAAAGGCTGTATTTTCATATTTTGAACCTCAGGCAGATGCTGAAACGGATGAAGTATATGCGCAGTTGATGTTGCAGCCCTCGAGTCCGGTAATGTCCAAATATATACCTCTCTTCCAACTGACTTGAGTATGATAAGGGACTAAATAGTAAATAATTTATTGGTCAAGTGCAGCAAGAACAAAAAGATGCATATCTTCCTGTAGAGCTGGGGATTCCTAGCAGACAGCCAACAAATTACTTTTGCAAGACTCTAACAGCAAGTGATACGAGCACACATGGTGGCTTCTCTGTTCCGCGGCGTGCTGCGGAGAAAGTTTTTCCTCCTTTGGTAATTATATCTCATTATCTGCTTCTTTCAATAAAGATTCGTTATATTCTGAAGATGTTTTGAAATTTTCCATTTTGTTGTCCTAGGATTTCTCTCAAACACCACCTGCGCAAGAACTTATAGCAAGGGATCTCCATGACGTTGAATGGAAGTTTAGGCATATTTTTCGCGGTGAGTCTCGAGTCTTTGGTTTTGCAGACCATGATAATGCCTGATTTTTTTCTGTCTATTTCACGACGTGGTTTAGTTACTGTGCTATGCAGTTGCTACTATATTGTAGCGTTTTAAGTGTAAGTGATCCCTCTTCATGCATTTATACATGTCGCCGCTTACTAAAGTATATACATCCTTCTTCAGCTTTAACATTTCCATTGCTTGATATTTATTAATCAATATATGATGCTAAATACATTTGTCTCATCAGTCTTCCTAAACGCAACCAACGGTGTATTCAACATCTTATTTTAAGTTCTTCGCTATATCAAGTCGACAACCCAATTTGCATTTTCACGCTAATGAGTGGGAGTGTAAATCAAAGACGATCATGAGAAATTCTGTGGTCATAATTTAAGTTTATAATTTTGATTATTTCAATTTGTTTAGCTTTGCATGATCTTATGATGGAATATTTGAACAATTTGGCCATTCTACTTCAGGTCAGCCCAAGCGTCATTTGCTCACTACTGGCTGGAGTGTATTCGTCAGTGCCAAACGACTTGTTGCTGGTGATTCTGTTCTTTTTATCTGGTATAATGTACCCTGTTCTATTTACAAAGTGCAATTTCATGTCTTATTGATATCATAAGCTTTTGTGGGACTGATATGGTTTTTAGGAATGAGAAAAATCAGCTACTTTTAGGAATTCGTCGTGCTACTCGACCACAAACAGTTATGCCATCATCTGTTCTTTCAAGTGATAGTATGCACATTGGACTTCTTGCTGCTGCTGCTCATGCTGCTGCTACTAGTAGCTGCTTCACTGTATTTTATAACCCGAGGTGGCTTCTAAACTCTCTATATCTCTTTCTCTCTTCCCCCCCCCC